GGAGACTGATCGGGTTCTTTCGATTCTTTTTTTCAGGTGCTTTCCTCGTCGACGTCTTCCCTGCAATGTTACATATCCCTGAATTCCTTGCGCCCTTCAAGCAGACAGCACGAGCATGGGCGCGCGCAACAAAAAATATGGTTGAGGCACCGTACCAGCTCGTGCGGCGTCAAATGGTGTGTCGTTTGATGGGCCACGCAAAGACCACCTGATGGATATCGTCTATTTTCAGGATGCCGGGACCGCTCCGGTCTCTTTTGTTTCCAGCCTTCTGGAAGACGAAGAGAAGCTCAGTGACGAAGACGTACGCAACATCCGCTACACGGCCGCAAGTTTATATGGTGGTACGTTCTCACCGAACATCACCTGAGCTATTCACAATATTGCTTGATAAAGGTGGCGCAGACACGACAGCTGCTGCCCTGTATGCATTTTTCCTGGCGATGGTTCTCACTCCGGGTGAGCCGGGGATTCTCACATTCAGATTCTCTTCCATTTTATATTAATTTTGCATTTCAGATGTCCAACGCACGGCCCAGGCTGAGATTGACTCGGTGGTCGGAGGTGCGCGTTTGCCCCGCTATGCAGACCGTGAACAGCTACCGTACACTTCGGCCGTTGTGACGGAGCTCTTGCGTTGGCATAGTGTTGCACCGCTCGGTGCGTTGCACAGTTGCGGTTTCCCCCGCACCATAGCGCTGACTCGCGCATAGGTGTTCCACACGCTGCGATGGAGGACACCGTCGTAAACGGGTATCTGATTCCCAAAGGTACGTGAATTTTATCACACGATCAAGTCGCAATTTTTTGAACGGCCCCGAGGTTCCGTGATCATTGCCAACTTGTGGTGCGGCTTTCGCATTTCCCCCATTACACGTATCTCCTCGTCCTTACATGTTCTTACAGGAATATGCTCAATGATCCGAACACATATCCTTCGCCGGAGAGGTTCGACCCAACGAGATGGCTCGCAACCCCACCGCAGCGCGACCCGCGCACCATTTGTTTCGGATTTGGACGGCGACGTTGCCCGGGCCAAGAGCTTGCAGAAACCTCGCTATTCCTCTGCGTCGCAATGACACTTGTGACGTTCGATATTGTACGCGGCGCCGGCCCACTGCCCTTACATGAAAATACGCAGGGGACAATCAGGTATGTTGGAATCGTTCATTTGCGCCACGTGAATTAAATGCCAGGTACAGTCATCCGAGGCCGTTCGATTGTGTGGTGACGCCACGCTCTGAGCGTGCGGTGGCCCTGATTTCGGGGGATGCTTGAGATCTTGCAGGGTAAGCCTGGGAACTGGAGTTTGTAAGGTTGTAATTACGCCGTTCATTCGTTCGTTCATTTAGAAAGCGGCTTTTCAAGAGCACAGTACTGTAGTTGTATACCCACGGTGAACTTCTTTATTGTTGTCAATTCTGCATGCATCCCGCCTCGCCCTGAATCTTTCTCAACTCGTATGGTGACAGACACCCTTCAGTCTTTCAATCGTTCGAAATTGGAAGAGGCATCGATTTCCGATGAGGCTCCTGGTACGCATACACTGCATGGTCCTCTAGATCTCTCTTCATACCCCGCGTCCTGATGCCGTCGAATTGGAACTTGAACTATTGAAGTTGAACACACCTTGCTGTCGATGTGGTAGTATCATAAAGCCTGACCTGTGAGCCTTGTCAAAGGACTATGGGTTACTAGACGGACACGTCCCTTCGTACAAGACCGAGAAACGCGCAAGGATGGACCTGGATGAATGGCCTGCGGATTACAACTGACAGAATATCACGTGCACGGCACTGCGGCTGACGAACATACATACATCCGCAGCACCACGACGCGCACTTCGTCACCAGCGTCTTACCTCTGCGCCAAACATTTCAGACGAGAATGACAAGGTTGGGAGCAACTGTGTCTCAACCCAACACTCGTCCGACTCTAGCCATGATGAAACCTGGCTTCGACTGCGGCGCAGCAGATGTTCGGAGCGCATCGAGACGGTGACCACAGACGCGCCCTTGTCCGTCGATGGTGTTCTACGTGCTGAAGCAGCGACCAGCAAAAGATGTCGGTAACGAAGGGGCGGGCCGACACGTGGTTGCCGGGTTACCAGGTGGGTTTTCGCTTTCGTGCGAACGGTGGGTGTAGCAGACCCCAGCACTACTCTGATCTGCCCCCTAGCTTCGCACTGGAGAAGAAACGAGGAAGAAAAGGAACGTTCGGATTGATGCGATTGGTGATCCACGTGACCCATTGCTCTCAATTCATGCGTCGACGGTGCTGCGGAGTGTCCTTGCTGACTGACACCTGGCGAGACTCTTTGTAACTTGCAAGGATCAAACAGCGATGGGCGTCCGTGCTATAAGGGAAATGCGACGGGATTGTGCAGCGAATTGCTGGATACGTCAAGGTACACAAAATCGATGAGCGAAGACGACAAGAAAGCGAAATCACTGCCGGGAAAATCGCGCGCTCAACCTCTCAGACGCGGGAAAGCCTGTCTCAACTGCAGACATCTTAAAATCGTAAGTTCTATGCCCGTTTTCTTTCTCTCGTTCAATGACTCACATCACTTTGAGGTAGAAATGCGACGGTGTTGTAAGTTCAGTGTGTTCACCTTATGACTTAGGACTTATCTCACTGAAAAGCGGCCTGTATGCGGCCAATGCACGCGGATTCCGAAAGACGATCCATGCGAGTTCACGGATGTCTCGTCCCGGACGATGGAACTTGAAAATACCGTGTTTCGTCTGCAGTCTCGCATTAACGAACTGGAAGGTGTACCTGGTCCATCGAGCTCTACCGGGTACTTGCAGCATGGCTGGCCCGCGACGGAGTTTTCTAGGATGAACTCGCCTTTCAGTGGTTCGTCGGCCGGTATTGGTTTTGCGTTCTCCAAAAGTCAGTCTGCTGAACATCCGCTACGAGGTTCTGGATCGTCGCCGCAGGCCGTATCAGATAATTCGTTTCTTGGTGCCGAGGTATATCTCAGCCGTACTTTCCGGGATTATCTCGATTCCTTACATGCAGCTTCCAAGGAACCTCCGCTCGTTATGATTCAAATGCTGTTAGTTTTCGTTTTCCCACTTTAAAGAAACGAATACATATCATCACCATTACAGGCTGGACCACTTTCTGCCTCACGCCACCCAGTTCGGGTTCTTTTTAGACGTGGATCGATTCAGGGAGTCGGCGCTCTTCCCCTTAGACTGGGCCGACCCCCGTCGCCCGTCCCCCGCCCTTCTTTCCGTCGTGTATCTCTGGGGCGTCCATCTATCACCCTCCCAGCCGCTCCTCTCCTCCGAACCCGTATTCCTAAAACGCGCGCAGCAGAACATCTCCGGGGAAATCGCCGAGAACAGCAATCCGATGCATCTCCTGCATACCATCCAGGCCCAAGTCCTTCTTTCGACATACATGTTCCGCAATAAACGCTTCCTGGAGGCGGAGGTCCACGCCAACGGCGCCGCGACGCTGACGCTCGGGTACCAGCTGCATAAAATTCGCTCCGCGCGGCCCGGTACGCCCCCCCTACTCGGTGTGCCTGTCTTGGTGGAAGTGTACCCCGCCCCGCCCGCGGATGCGCTCGAGGAGGCGGAGCGCATCCGCGCCTTCTGGACCGTCGCGTGTCTGCAGAGTAGCCTCAATATCGCGGTGAGCGCCGCCAGCAGCAACTTCTCGATCCTCGAGGCGTGTGGGTCCGAGATCGACACCCCGTGGCCGGACGAGCTCTCCGCAGGATACACGGGCCAGGAAACGATAAAGGCCTTCCTCACACAGGACCCGCCGCCGTCCAGCTCCGTGCCCGCCCTGTATGCGAAAGCCGCGGTGCTCCTGCACCGCGCCGCCCGTCTGGGTGCAAAATGGTCTCCCGGTAAGGTTTCCCGCGGGACCCGTGAGCCACCTCGTTAATCCACATCACACAGCCCTCGACGCCCAGAACGCCGCGTCCTACGCGGCGTCCTGCGCGTGGCTCGACGGGCGCATCGCCGCGTTCCGGAAGACGCTGCCGCCGCTGTACGCATTCTACGCCGACTCGGCACAGGCGCGCACGCTCGTCGTCGCGCATGCGATGGCCGCCGCCGCCGCGATCGAGCTGCGCTATTCCGCTGCCTCGGGGCCGGGGGACGCGGAGGCGCAGAGGACGTGCGTCGGCGCTGCGCGCGCGGTCCTCGCGTGCCTGGGCGACACGCGCGTCCCGGACTTGACGGTCGCGCACCCGGTTGTGGGGTCGCTGTGTGTGATGGCGTGTCGGGTGCTGGGGGACGGGGTGCGCGGGGCGAAGGCGTTCCGCGGGGCGTGGGGGGAGAGTCTGCGCGTTGAGGCGCCGCCGCCGGGGGAGGAGGAGGTGCGGCTCGGGGAGGATTTGCGGGGTGGGATCAGGACGATGAGGATGTATGCGGGTGGGAGTCCGCTTGTTGGTGAGTGACCCCCACAGTGGAGGCGCTGAGCTTATGTACTGACGCAACACTTGCGGTTTCAGAATATCAGTTGAGCAAGCTGCAACAGCAGTACGGATCGGGATATTAAATGCTTTCCACACATGGTTGGTCGTTTGTCCGATGCCAGGCCTTTGTATAATCTTCTCACGATTCGCTGGGTTTTCTTATACTCGCGGCGAGAATTCCCAGAGAATATGTGCAGTGTACTTGATTTACTTCTAATGATACACGAGATCTGTCAAATGAGCGCCTATTCGCAGTATTCAAAGGAAGGCGGTTCCCTCGCTTCTGCTTGCCTACCATTCTCAGCGGACGGCGGTGGATCATTGACCCGGGATCGCTTCGAAAATCAAGGGACACTCGTCATGGATCTTGGCTTATCCGTCAGTGTCGAGCCGAGTCGACTGGAAGATTGCTTCCCAACCAAATATCGTAGCCGCGAACATCCTTTCCTACCACAGCGTCCCGAACTTTTAACCCATACTCACCGTTGCCTGAGACAAAATCAAAATCTGTCGACAAAAATAGCATTTCCCAAATAAGTATAATAAAAAGCAAACGGGGCCTTGCTGGGAATCGAACCCAGGTCACTTGCAGTTGCCCGCATCATCAATTAGCCCAAAGCAAGTATCTTGCCTCTGGACCACAAGGCCATGGGGGTGCTTCGGGTAGCGAGGGCTATAGCTGGTTCGCCTCCCTCACCGTTCTGTTCCAGCTCCCTTTTCGATTCGTCTGCTCTTTTCCGATTCGTTCGTTGATGCGATACACGGTGCCGCAACCGCAACCGGCGACGGACGCCGTGATCGTGGCGTCCCTCGGGGAAGCGACGATTGGAGAGGAGATGCGCCATGTGGAGCCTCTGCCGTCGCGTAATTTTGTCCCCGCCACGGTCTCCGTGCCGACATCACATCTCTGCATCGTTGCATCTTTGCATCTTCCTTCTTTTCGTCCTCGTTCCTTTCCGCGTTTCCGTCGTTGCAGTCCGGACTCCAAGGCTGGGTGGCGCATAGACACGAAGCAAGGCAGAAGACGACGAAGGCAGACGAAGCAGGGGAGAGAGAGTGGGCCCAAGGCAGCCATGGCGCCGCTCCCGGATGTGCATCTCTCGTGCGTCCCATCTTAAAATCGATCAAATTCAAAATGTAACGGCGGTGGTGGTGCGCGCAGGTATGGCCCGATGCTCATAGGTACGCCGCCCGTCCCTTGTCTCAAGCAGAGCAGAGCTGGATCCTTGGATGGATAGGTGTCTTCTTCAATATGATATTATACGGGGTGCGTCTCCTGTTCTCGTCTCCCGTCTCCCGAGGCTGGGGCTGACGAGCATGTGGTGTATGTAGGTCTTCATCGCGCAGGTTAGTCTTTTCGTCGGCGTGGTGTAACTGTGAGGAGATGAATGAAATGGATGCAGGCTCTGACGTATTTCCAACGGTGTCGCAAGTGCGTTGCCGTCTCCCTCCCTTCTGCTTCTTAGAGCAAGATGACTGACCGCGCGCGCAGGGACGACGCCTGGCTGCGTTACTTCGTGCGTCTGCCCGTCTATAATAATATGTGGGGGGCCAGCTAACGACGAAGCCCCATGTAGGTCGGCTACCTCTTCGTGCTGGAGACGCTCAACACGGGCTTCGACATGGCGATCATGTACCAGCCGTTGATTTTAGAGTACGGTGCGTCCCCGCCTTTTCCTTCTCGTTCTTCCTTCTTCCTCTGCTTCATCACTCTGTTACGTCGATCCGATTTGGGCTCACGCATGGACAGGCGAAGAGCCGGATTACTTCCCCACTGGTGCGTCCCCTCCTCCCCCAATCCCGCGCCTCGATACTGACGGTGCCGTCGTGTGTAGTATTCGTCTCGGGTGCGTCGTGCAGCTGTGTGTGGCGCCGAGTCCGACTGACCGACCTTCGTTGGGCGATGCAGAGCCGTTGTTCGTGGTGCGTTTCCTTCCCCATCCATCCGCCCTTCGTTCCTCGTCTCTCCCTTTTTTTACTCGAAAACTGGAAACCGCAAACTGACGACTAACGCAACCCCCGCCAGGTCCTCGTATCGACGCCGATCCAGATCTTCTTCGCGTGGCGCATCTGGACGATCACGCGCGTCGTGTGGGCGCCGGTCGTGGTCGGTGCGTTGGCGGTCGTGGCGTTTGGTGAGTCGGAGGCTGTGCCCTTCTTTCGTGTCCCGTCCCGCCCGCTCCCCGTCCCTTTCCTCCCTTTCCTTTCCTTCCCTCCCCTGTTCCCCGGTCCCTCCCGCTTCCCGTCCTTCCTGCCCTCTCGCCCTCCCAGCCCACCCGCGCTTCCCGCGTCACCCGCCCGGCCCTTCCCATCCCGCCGTTCCCTTCCTCCCCATCGCCCCCCTCTTGCCTTCCCGCCCCGTCTTCACTCCCCGTCCCCTTCCCCCTTCCCTCCCCTTCCTCTCCCTTCCCGTTTCCCTTCCTTCCCCCGTCCACCCTCCCCCGCCTTCCCCCTCTTCCTGTCCTTTCTCTCCTCTCTTCACACTCGCTCCTCGCCTCCTATGAGTACTGAAAAAAAAAATTACTAACGCTCGCTCCGCTCGCAGCCGGCGGCATCTACACCGCCACCAAAGTCGCCCTCATCAAGCAGTTCGTGCACAAGCCCGAGCTGCACGCCCCCGCGCTCGTGTGGTTCCTCGCGTCGTGCGCCGCGGACGTGATCATCACGGTCGCGCTTGTGTTGACGTTGGTGAGTCGTGTTTGTGTTGCGCTGCAGATGAGAGGAGACGAAGAGAGTGGGTGCAACGACGACGATGCGATGCGAGGAGACGAAGAGAGTGGGTGCAACGACGACGATGCGATGCGAGGAGACCCCTCCTCTTTGCCCTTCCCCCCTCCGTCTAGTCGAGCCCCGACTCGAGGCGATGGGGCTCGAGACTCGATGCCGCCCCCTTCCCTCTCCCTCTCCCCTCCCTCTCCCCTCGCTCTGCCTCTGCCTCTGCCTCCACCTCTCTTTTACTCTCCCTGCCCTCCGTGCCCACCCTTTCTCCGTTCTCCCTCCCTCCCTCCCTCCCTTCTCTCCCTCCTTCCATCTCTTCTCTTCCTCCCTCCGTGTCTCTCGACCGGATGCTCACCTCTTCCCATGCTAGACACACCGCAAAACCGGCTTCGTCGCGACGGACAGCGTCATCGATAAGATCATACGGAGTGCGTCCTCTCCTCTCTTCCCCTGCTTTCCACTTCCTCCTTCACCTCACCGTGGTCTGACGACCAATCCTCTCCTCCTCACCCTCCTCTTCTCCTTTTCTCGCCGTTCTCTTGCCTGCTTCCTCTCCTCTCCCTTCTTCCTTCCTCTCCTCACCGTGGTATCTAACGACCGCTCCTCACCCTTCACCCTTCTCACCCTTCACCCTCCCCTTACGTTGCATATCTGACTCGATCTGACGAATCCCCTCCGCCCCCCAGTGACGATCCAAACCGGGCTCGTAACCTCCGTCTTCAGCCTCCTCGACGTCATCTTCTTCATGGTGTTCCCGCACTTGGCTATGTACGTCCCCTCCTCCTCCCGCTCCTTTCCCTTCTGCCGCACTCCACCCCAAGTCCACTCCCCCATACTCCGCCCCACTCCCATCCCCCAAGTCCACTCCGCCATACTCCGCCCCACTCCCATCCCCCAAGTCCACTCCCCCATACTCCGCCCCACTTCCATCCCCCAAGTCCACCCCCTCCCCGTAATCCCAACCCCAAACGCACTGCCTAACACCACCCCACACAGAAACTTCATATTCGACCTCCCCCTCTCCAAGCTCTACTCCAACGCGCTCCTCTCCACGCTCAACGCGCGCGAGGAGCTCGGCAGCGTCACCTCCACCTCCACGCGGCACCGGCGCTCCGGATCCCGATCGTCGCAGCTGGGGGCGGGGATTGGACGGGGGGAGGTGGGTAACGGTAAAGGGATGGGGCTGGGACGGGGGGAAGTGGGTAAAGGCGCAGGGATGGGGACACAGCTCGTGTTCGAGGATATGGGCGCGCTGGGGTTCGGGAGCGGGAGCGGGAGCGGGAGCGGGGTGGCGACGACGAAGTTTGAGGAGATGGAGCTCTCAATCTCGATGGAGGGCGACGGGGAGACTTGGGCCTCGGTCGACGGGGAGAGTCGGGAGGTCGGGATCGACGGGGATGGGGAGGGGATGGGGAAGGGCGAGCGCGAGCGCGAGGAGGGGATCACGGAGATGGTAAGGGGGAGTCCTAGTGGGAGTGGGATGGGGACGGTGAGGAGTACGGTGAGGAGTACCGGGACGATGTATAGCAGTGCCAGCAGTAGCGGGGTGAGTGGATTGGGATTTATTGACTTTGACGTGCTGACACCCCCCGCAGGGATCTGGTGCGCCGTAGCCCCCCGCCGCCGCCGCCTGCTGGTGTTGCTACGAGTGCCTCGACTGCCACTAGGGCCTACCCGAGAGCGGCGTACCTCTTCCAGGTTTTTCGTTACTATCCTGCTCCTCTCCTCTCGACGATCCTCGCTGTTCCTCCTCCTCGTTTCTCGTCGTCCGTACCTTACAAGTTCCAACGCTATCCCGCTCTCTCATCGCCCATCCCTCTCTCTCACTCTCATCGTGTCGCACGCATGTACATACATACACACCTACCCATCGCCGCATCGCATGTACCCATCCCCGCCGCATCGCATCCATACCACCCATCCCCGCATCGCATCCATACCACCCATCGCACGCCGCATACCATGTACATACCTATCCAGTCCTTGCATCACATCGCACGCCGCACCGCATTGCATTGCATGTACATATCGTCGCATTCAGCATACATACATATCGCAGACTACATACACCTCCCTCCGCTCGTTCGCTCGTTCGCTATCTGTTTGTTACTTACAATGGATTGTACTGATACATACCCGCATACCCACCCGCATACCCTCCTTCCTTGCTTCCTTGCTTCCTTCTGTCGCGCCACGTGCCGCCCCGTGCACCTCGTCGTTCGCCCCTTCCGCGTCGTTTCGTCTCGTCTCGCCCCGCCCCGCCCTCCCGCCCTCCCTGGTCGTCCCCCCGCGTTCCGGCCACACCCACCCCGCCCGCTGGCTGTGCTCGTTTTCGGTTTCCGTCGACCCTTCCGCCTCCGGAATTCGCGATTTCGTCGAGTGAGCCCTGAGAGCCCAGCACGCCGCGATTCGGAGCAAGGAGGGGTGCGGCGGGACAGCTTCATCGTTCCACTCGTCGACCATTGCCAGCGTGCGATGATACGCTCCGCCGCACAATAGAAGGTGCCAGGGGAGCGATGTCCTGTCCGGTGTCTGAGGCGATAATTTGATGGGCTCCCGGGAACGATAACGCGACGACGAGGCGGAGCTCGTACTCTGCCGCCGATGAGACGGGACGGGACGAGACGAAGGCGTGCAAGATATCCGCCAGGCAGATTCGTCCATCCCGCGCGTTGGCTGCGGCTCCGCCCACGGCGCACATGTCACTCGCCCGCCCCCATACCCCCGCGTCCACCGCATGCACCGCACCCATCCCCTCACGCTCACGCTCACGCTCACAAGTTAAACTTATCTTTCGCCGTATCTATGCTGTGTATCGAAATGTAGTATTATCATAATGGACTGTACTTGTACCTACTTACGTGGATTCGGATTTACGAAATACGTATTTCGCTCTGATACCCTCGGCCCTCCTGTAGGGTGCAAAGAGG